GACATATTTGACTTTTAGTTTAATGAATAGTGACACGCTTGTAAACAATTTTAAAGTGTGNCATTTTTGTAAAGTGGCATATGTGATGTGGCATTTTTTAAAATTTCTCATTTTTATTTAGAAAATAAAATACTCAAATAATCCTAAAATATAGTTCGCATGTCTATAGTTCGCCGTGATACATGAGTTATACAATTTTATTAAACTTAAGGACAAAAATTCGATTTAACCTTTTACAATTTTATGCTATTTTTAATCATTCATTTACTTATTTTTAGTAGAATATAACTCGCGCAATGTACGAGTTTTTTCTTACACCAATTTATACCTTTTATATATTTTAAATATATAACACTTTAAATTTTTCTTTCATGCTTTCATAATATTCAAATATGACATTATGAACAAAATCGTATATTCCAAATTTTCATCTTATTATCTCATCTTTAATAATATATATTCTTTCTCTTGAGATCAACATCTCTTAACAATCGATTGACACTCATATTATTTATTAATTTTTCTTCTTTGATGTCATTTATATTTTTATTCATTTGTTCTTATATGTATATTCATTTTACATATTTTCAATTTTTGAAATTGAATATATAAAATTTTATCGTTATCATAAGCTCATAAGAAAATACTTATTGTTGTAATTTTATGTACTACTTTTAGTTATTTATTGACTTATTTTTGTTTTTTATTTAATTAGAAATTTTAGTAGCTATAAGTAACAATAAATATACATAAACATGAATTAAATGAAAGTTAAAATTAAAATTAATTGTAAAAAAATGTTTTGCCTATGTGGATATCTTAGATGGAGAGAAAACTTTGCTATTATATATATAGATTAACCATCATTTTGAGATGTTTGTTTAATTTTTCTATTTCTTAACGGTATTCATGAAAGATTGGTTTAAAAATGAGATTATACAAAGGCTAAACAATGTATCTTTTCATTATGATTTAATCATAAAATATTACACTAGGCAAAACAACATTTTTTTTTAAACCATAGTTTTTTTGGGGAGAAATTAGAATGTATATTATTTTTCTCATCTATAATTTACTATCTAACACTATATAAAACATAATATAGTAACAAATATTTAACTCACTTAAAATTCTAATTTTAGACTTTCGTAATTATCTAACTTTTTACAATAAAATAAATAAAATTAAAACTCTGA